AGAGTTATACAGTTTTCCTTGTTACCAAAAAAAAAAAAAAAAAAAAAAACCTTACATTAAAGATGTAAAGTTTATAAGGTTGAGAAACATAAAATCTTAAATTGTTTATCTAAGAAGATGTTTTAAGATCTAAAAAGATACTTTTAGGATGGTAATACAAGTTATGATAGAAAATGGTTTAGGTATAAAACTCTGGACTCACCAAAATAGGATAGATAATGGAATAATTTCTCCAAATTTGTCAAATACAAATGAACTGCACATTGTGAGTGTAATTCTTATTTGATAATTGTTCTTATTATATATAATTTTACTCTATTAGTATTAAAACCTTCCCTTTTTATTTAGACAAAAGGGGGAAAATTTGTGGGATATTTGTACATTGTGTGAATATGTGTGGTGATATTTTATTTGTGCTGGAATGTGGTGATATTTTATTTGTATGTTAATAAATAAAGCATGCCTGGAGATCAAGGGAGAAAAGGCCAGCCATTTTTAAGTAAACACAAAAGTCAGGCAGTGGTAGCACACACCCTTAATCTGATCACTTGGCAGGCAGGGTCTCTGTGTGTTCAAGGTCATACTAGGAAACAGAGCCAAGTGTGGTAACACACGCCTTTAATCCCATTACCAACCATAGAGACCTGGAGGTCTGTACAGACAGGCAGTGACAGGGAAATGAGGTAGCTGGGCTAAAAGCCAATGAAAGGGCAGAACAGGAAGGCAATAAAGGTGGAGGTTAGACAGGAAGTAGCTTGCATTTGGTAGCTGCAAAGCTGGAGAGGTAGGGTTGGTTGGTGGCTCTCACTATTTCCCTGATCTCCAAGGCTTTCACCCCTATATTTGGCTCTGTATTTTTTATTTAATAAGACAGCTTAGAAATTCATCTACAACTATGTATTGCTGTGATTGGTGTAATAAAAAGCTGAATGGCCAGTAGCTAGGCAGGAGAGATAGGCAGAAGTTCCAGGCAGAGAGAGAACTGTGGGAAGAAGAAGGTGGAGTTGCCAGCCAGACTTGGAGGAATGAGGATAGGCCACATGGAAATGAAGTAACAGTGGCAGAACATAGACTGATACAAATGGTTCATTAAGTTACAAAGCTGGCTGAGAACAGCCTAAGGTAAAGCCGAGCTTTCATAATTAACAGTAAGTCTCTTTGTCATTAATTGTGAGATGGTGGCCTTAGCAAGAAAGTACCACTACAACTCAGTATTTTTTATGTATGGGGTGTGTGTGTGTGTGTGTGTGTGTGTGTGTGTGCATATGTCACAACATATGTGGGGACATCAGAGGACAACTTGCATCAGTCAGTTCTCTCCTTCCACTATATGGGTCAGAGATCAAACTCAAGTCATCAGGCTTGGTAGCAAATCCCTTGACCTTCCGAGCTCCCTTGCCAGCCCTGTTTTTATTTATTTATTTACTTATTTATTTATTTATATCATCTGTTTATTTTTGAGGCACAGTCTTACTATGTATTCCTAGCTGGTCTGGAATTCATGGGATATGAAGACCATTTGGTTTGAACCTGTGCTGCGTCTCTGTTTCAGCCTCTTGAGTGCTGGGATTGCAGGTGTGGGCCACCTGACTGAAATACATTTCGGATCACTGCTCACCAATTTCCAAGTCTGGAAATCATAGCCGTCCTTCAGTCATTCCATTGAATAAAACTGTGCTCCATTTGAAAAGATCTGCTAAGTCCACTCACAACTCACACCACCACCTGGGAGCTTCTCCTCGGGACAAACAGTTGACAGCACAGAAATCCTTACGATATTCTTCCCATTTCATGGTACAGAATATCCTTGAAATATGTCCTGGAGGGTAGTAATTTCAATATTCAGTCATTCTTACATCAAACTGTCAATTTGTGTGTATATGTACGTGCTTGTGTGGTGCACACCCATGTGTATGCATGTGTGTGTAAATACTTCACGCTTGCATATATATACTTGTGTGTATGTGTGTGTATGTATGTGTGTGTACATATGTACACATGCTTGCATGTGTTTGCAGGTGTATATGTATACATGCTTATGTGTGTATACATACTTGTGTGTGTGTGCATGTATGTGTGTACATGCTTCTATGTGTGTATACATGTATTTGTGTGTGTGCATGTATTTGTGTGTGTACATGTATAAATGTATAGCAGCAGACACTGGTATGATCTGATTTGCCAGCCAGTATTTTTGCCCCATCACTGAACACTAGAGAATCAGTTTAGAGATAAACTGATGTCCTCATGTCCCCCAAAAGAATCCTGAGAAAGCCCCAGCTGTCCGTATGTCACTGGTCAGTCTTTAAACAGGGTGTACTTGTCCTTCTCAGTACTTAGACCGTTGGTCTCCTACTTGCTTGGGAAGCTTTCTGGTGAGCCTGGGGCAGGTGGTGTGGCCTTCTTGCAGACTGACCTACACTGCTCTCTTTGTCATGCATGCTTCATGGAAGTTTCTAGCCCACACTTGACACTTGTAAGAAGTTCTTCCATTTCTTCTCATTTGCTACTTGGTATATTCTTCTATCAGAGACACAAACTTCTCAAGTTTCTGTCAGCAGTTCACATAGTTTTACAGAATAAAATTGACTTTTCAAAACATGCTATTGTATTATAAAATATTTTCCCTTTTTAAAAATGTGTTTTCACCTATTCTTTTCTTTCTGTTTTTCAAATTCCATGTCCACTGTAGTCTTTCTTAACCTCCTATCTGCAGTCCTTCTCCTGAAGCTTTCCCTCAGACTATTAATCTTTCCAAACAGTAAGTTTTGAAATTTATCTATCAAATACTTGCTGGGATTATTTCTTCTTTTATTATTGATTACTATCGTTTCTCGTGTATTTAACTATCCTTTCCTGATAAGGTTTTTTTTTTTTTTTTATGTTCCAGGTAGAGAAAACAGTAACTTTCCCTAGCCACCCTTCCCACTTTCATGTTTTATAATAATAACTGTTTGCTCCTTTGTTGTTGATTTTTTTCTTTTCTCTCCCATTTCTCTGTAATCTCTACTTACCACAAATAATATACATTGCCAGATATACTATCCTGTGGTGGTATTGTGTTCCCCAAAATATTGTGTACCCTAATAAACTTATCTGGGGTCAGAGAACAGAAAAGCCACTAAATACTTAGGATAGGATTAAAGCTTATCTGGGGTCAGAGACAGAACAGCCACAATATTAAACATAGAGGATAGGCAGTGGTAGCACACACCTTTAATCCTAGCATTCCAGAGGCAGAAATCCATCTGTTCAAGGATACAGCCAAGCATGGTGACTCACACTTTAATCCCAGAAAGTGAACCTTTAATCCCAGGGAGTGATGGTTGAAAGCAGAAAGGTATATAAGGTGTGATGACCAGAAACTACAAGCATTTGGCTGGTTAAGCTTTTAGGTTTTGAGCAGCACAGTTCAGCTGAGAGCCATTTGGATATGAGGACACAGAAGCTTCCAGTCTGAGCAAACAAGATCAGCTGAGAATTTGGCCAGGTGAGGTTAGTTGCGGCTTGTTCTGTCTCTCTGACCTCCCAGTGTTCACCCCAATAACTGGCTTCAGGTTTGACTTAATTAATAAGACCTTCTAACAATTCATGCTACACTTTCCCAGTTCCATTGTGGAAGGAAGGAAAACTGAGTTATTCAGTCACATCATTTAGAGAATGATTATGAGAATTTATAATACATGGAAAGTGTATGGGCTAGTTTTATGTCAGTTTGACACAAGGTAAAGTCATCTGAGAGGAGGGAACCTCAATTAGGAAAATGCTCCCATAAGACTGGGCTGCAAGCATGCCTTTAAGGCATTTTCTTAATTAGTGATTTATGGAGGAGGGTCCACATCCCACTGTGGGTGGTGTTATCCCTGGGCTGGGGTCCTGGGTTCTATAAGAAAGCAGGCTGAGCAATGAAGAACAAGCCAGTAAGCAGCACTTCTCCAAGGCTTCTGCATCAGCCTCTGCCCCCAGGTTCCTGCCCTGTATGAGTTCCTTCCATCAATGCCTTTGATGATGAACTGTTCTATGGAACAGTGAGTGAAATAAACCCTTTCCTTCCCAAGTTTCTTTTGGTTATGGTGTTTCACTATAGCAATAGAAACCCTGACTAAGATAGAAAGGAATAAAATGTATTTTACCAGCTAGAAATCAGGTTGTCCTTAGTGAAGAAACAGTCTCCTCGGGAGAAGCTTTTATGAGTCAAGGAGAAGGGTGCAAAGAAGAAAAGCATTGGGTGGGAAGCACAAGATGGCCGTTGGTGTGTTGGGAAGTCAGAAATGAGAGAAGAGAGTAAGAGAGATGGGAACAACACAGAATATGGCGGCCTGGGGAAAAGAAATGCTTGACAGAATCACAGAGAGTGGGGTGTAATATCTAATATCCTTGTGAGGCAGAATACTAGATCTGAGAAGAGCAGGGCAGCCTTAAAAAGTCCCAGACTCCATAGGACCAAGGCTGGAAGGTTGTGTGCCACCACTCCAACCTTAGTGAGCTGTGTATGAGCAGACAGGCGCCATTACTGGAGAACAGTGAGGGTGATTTCTACCCTGACTGTAGCCCAGGGTGGAAGATGGATAATTGAAGGAGTTGGACTGCGTGAGGCCATACATGAAGACTTCATGCGCCCCTCCCACCATGGAGGCATTTCCAAGTCTTAGATTGCTGTGGTTTGCATGAGTGCCCCCAAGTGGCCCACAGGCCACACCATTGGCCCCTGGGTGATTCCACTGGGAGGAGGTAGAACATGCGAAAGTTGAGTTTCCTGGGGGCCTTTAGGTCATTGCTGGAACACCCTTGAAGGCAATCGTGAAGCTCTGCTCTCTTCTCTCCTCCTCCTGCCTGTCAGTCCATCTCTGCTCCTTACTCCCTCCTTATGTGCCTGCCACCCATGACAGAGGCCCAAGTGACAGGCTGGTATTTTCAGAACTGGGCTAAATAAACATTTTTTATAAGTTAATTGCTAACTGATACAGAGATGCTATTAAAATAATTAGGCCTACAAAGATACTGCCTGGTCTCAGGGATGAGCCAACTCCAAGGTATCAGGTCCCCAGAACTGTTCTTTAGCCTCTTAGCTGAATGTTTCCCATGGGAGGGGCAGCAGAGGCAGCCTCCACTGAGGAGCTGACATCTTTCTTGACGACTCTGTACAGGTTATCTCTCATTTGTTTTTCCTTATTGAATATCATTTTCAACGCTGTTTTCATTTCTAGTTCATTGAGACATCTTAGAGCCAAGACAAATCTTTCTGAATAGGTTCTGTCAACTCGATGCATTCCAGGGGTGACATCTGACTTCAAATAGTTTGTGATGTTGTCGGTAAGATGGCTTCTCCAAGCTTCCTCCTGCAGCACATGGGACCAAACACACACACACACACACACACACACACACACACACACACAGAGAGAGAGAGAGAGAGAGAGAGAGAGAGAGAGAGA